ACGTTGGTGTTTCGCTCTATTTTGTGGCCAGAATTAGTTTTGTACTCGTGTTTACCATATCTGAGTAATTGAAATTTCTCATCGTTGAACTTCATATTGTTTTCTGCAGCCCACTGAAAGATTTGGTTGATATCCGCCTGGAGCCTTGCAGTGTTTGCAATGGAAGACACTGTCATGCAGATTCGGGTGTCATCTGCAAACGAAGACACGGTGCTGTGGCTGACATCCTTGTCTATGTCAGTCCCTATGTCAATCCCTGCAACTACACTTATGTGAACACATTTAGGTAAGCGCGCGCGCGCACACACACATAAAACCTCATGCATCAACATGTTAGGGACACTACCACAGAGAGAGAGAGAGAGAGAGAGAGAGAGAGAGAGAGAGAGAGAGAGAGGAGGATGAGCCAGCAAGATTGGACCTCGTGTTCACCCTGAGTAGCTCGGACACTGAGGACATCACATATGAAAGGCCCTTTGGAGATAGTAATCACGTGGTTCTGAGCTTTGAATGCACAGTAGAGTTACAGGTGGAGAGGGAAACAGGAGTAGGATGGGAAAAGCTAACCTACAAAAGGGGGGACTACACAGGCATTAGGAACTTCCTGCAGGAGTTTCAGTGGGAAAGGTCTGTTCCCAAGGGCAACAGAAATAATGGGAAGACCAGAATGAGCCTTTGGTTTACCCAAAGGTGTAGGGAGGCAAAAGCAAAGTGCATTAGTGAATGAAAAAAGGTACAGAAGACAAAGGACCCAGGGAAATAGAGATTAGTCGAAGAGCCAGAAACGAGTATGCACAGATGAAAGAGGCTCAGCGACAGTACGAAAACATAGCATCAAAAGTAAAGTCTGACCAGAAACTGTTGTATAGCCACATCAGGAGGAAGAAACAGTCAAGGACCAGGTAATCAGGAGAGAAGGTGGGGAGCTCACAAGAAACGACCAAGAAGTATGTGAGGAGCTCACCATGAGATTTAAGGAAGTATTTACAGTGGAGACAGAAAGGACTCCGATAAGTCAGAACAGGGGGGTACACCAACAAGGGATATACCAACAAGTGTTGAATGAAATACAACCGTGGAGGAGGTGAAGAAGCTGCTAAGTGACCTTGATACCTCAAAGGCGGTGGGACCGGACATCTCTCCGTGGGTCCTATAAGAGGGAGCAGAGATGCTGTGTGTGTCACTAACAACAATTTTCAACACATCCATTGAAACTGGGCAACTACCTGCGGTATGGAAGACGGCAAATGTAGTCCCCATTTTTAAGAAAGGAGACAGACACGAGACACTAAACCTACTGGAGTTTTATGAAGAGGTAACAAAAGTGGGCAGATTGCATTTTCTTGGACTGCAAGAAGGCTTTCGACACAGTTCCTGACAAGAGGCTAGTGAAAAAACTAGAGGATCAGGCATACATAACAGGAAGGGCACTGCAATGGATCAGAGAATACCTGACAGGGAGGCAACGAGTCACGGTACGTGACGAGGTATCAGAGTGGGCGCCTGTGATGAGTTGGGTTCCACAGGGGTCAGTCCTAGGACCAGTGCTATTTTTGGTATATGTGAATGACATGACGGAAGGGATAGACTCAGAAGTGTCACTGTTTACAAATGATGTGAAGTTAATGAGGAGAATTAAACTGGATGAAGATCAGGTAGGACTACAAAGAGACCTGGACAGGTTCCTCTAATTTAACCCCGCCAAATGCAAAGTCATGAAGATCGGGGAAGGGCAAAGAAGACCGCAGACCAGGTATAGCTTAGTGGCCAAAGACTGCAAACCTCACTCAAGGAAAAGGATCTTGGGGTGAGTATAATACCGAGCACATCTGAGGCACACATCATCCAGATAACTGCTATAGCATATGGGCGCCTGGCAAACCTGAGAATAGTGTTCCGATACCTCAGCAAGGAATCGTTCAAGACTCCGTACACTGTGTAAGTCAGGCCCATACAAGAGTATGCAGCACCAGTCTGGAACCCACACCTGGTCAAGTAGGTCAAGAATTTAGAGAAAGTGAAATGGTTTGCAACAAGACTAGTTCCAGAGCTAGGGGAATGTCCTACGAAGAAAGGTTAAGGGAAATCGCCCTGACGACACTGGAGGACAGGAGAGTTAGGGGAGGCATGATAACGACATACAAAATACTGTGAGGAATTGACAAGGTGGACAGAGACAGGATGTTCCAGAGACGGAACACAGAAACAAGGGGTCACAATTGGAAGTTAAAGACTCATATGAGTCAAAGAGATGTTAGGAAGTATTTCTCTAGTCATAGAGGTGTTAAGAAGTGGAATAGCCTGGCAAGTGATGTAGTGGAGGCAGGAACCATACATAGTTTTAAGACTATGATAAAACTCATGGAGCAGGGAGAGAGAGGACCTAGTAGCGATCAGTGAAGAGGCGGGACCAAGAACTGACTCGACCTGCAACCACAAATAGGTAAGTATACACACACATGCACCTATAAATCACCCTGGAGATCTAAACCTGTGTGGGAGGACATCTAGATAAATCTGTTCGAGTATACTGTAAAAATTTATAGAGAAAAGTTTTATTCATTCATATGTATAAAGAAGAGGAAGAAGAAGAGATGAAGAAGGAAGATGGAAATCATTCGAAATAGGAAGAAACAGGAGGAAGGGAAGGATGAGGAGAGGCCTGGAGGCCTAGTCAAGGTCTGGGTCGCGGGGGGAGGGAGGGGACCCCCGGAACACCCTCCAGGTAGACTCCAGGTAAAGATGAGATTAAGAGGAGGAAGACGAGAAGGAGTAGGAGGAGGAGGAGGAGGAGGAGGAGGAGGAGTAGGAGGAGGAGGAAGATTAGGAGGACTGTGCGCACTCCAGCAGATTACGGTCTCCAGGAAGAACAAAAGCCACCAGCACGTGTTACACACACACACACACTTACACCCACACACACATTATATATATATATATATATATATATATATATATATATATATATATATATATATATATATATATATATATATATATTTATATATGTCGTGCCGAATATGTAAAACTGGTCAATTAGCAAGAACTCATTTTAAAATTAAGTCCTTTCTAAAATTTTCTCTTATACGTTTGAATATATATTTTTTCATTAATGTTAATGTAAAAAATTTTAATTTTGCTCCAAAAGAATCTTAGAAAACTTACCTAACCTTATTATAACAAAAACGTCGTCGTCCACGTAACGTAACCAAGTGACGCTTGAAGGGATGATGTTGGCGAAGTGTTCGGACTCTAGATGTTCCATGTATAAGTTGGCTAGGACGGCAATGATGGGGGACCCCATTCCCATGCCGTAGGTTTGCTTGTAGAGCTTGTTTACGTTACGTGGACGACGTCCTCGTAATAACTCCCAAACGTTTTGATGTACGGAATCTCCAGGCAAGGCTCAACGCAGTTGAACCGGCGATCCAGTTTACACTAGAAGAAGAGTCCAATGACAAGCTTCCTTTCCTCGACGTCCTCATTCACAAAGCAGACAACAACCTAAGATTTCAAGTTTATCGGAAACCCACCAATAAAAATGATCTCACACACTTCTATTCCAGTCAAGATACCAAGACCAAAAGAGGCATCATCATCGGTTTTTTCCTAAGAGCATACCGAATTTGTAGTCCCGAGTTTCTTGACGAGGAATGTACATACATTCACCAAACATTCACTGAGTTACATTTTCCTCCTTTTTTCATCAAAGACTGCAAGAAAAGAGCTCTTCAGATCATTAATTCTCCACGCACCAACACCACTCCCAACAAAGTTATAATTCTTCCCAACAGCCAGGTTGCACTAAACATCTCAAAAGTACTTTCACAAGCTAACACCAGAGTCGCCATCGCTTCTAGCACTTCAATAAAGGATCTAACCAGGACAGAATCCAAGCACCACGAACCAGTCAATGCAGGAGTTTACACTATACCCTGTGGAGGCTGTGACAAGATCTACGTAGGTGAAACAGCAAGAAACCTCGACACCCGCCTCAATGAACACATTTACGCATGTAGGAACGATAACTTGAACAACGCCTGTGTACAACACCGAAATTCCACCAATCATCTCATGAAATTCAGAGACGCCCAATTAGTGATCAAAGAAACTAATTTCCGCAGACGCAAGTGCCTCGAATCAGCACTGATCGCTGTTTCAAATACAATTAAACAAAACAACGGCAGCTTCACCATCTCTGAAGTTTTAGCAAGAATCCTCCTGAAAACAGTAAACCCTGCCATCACATAGTCTCTCCTGTTATACTACACAAAGCACATTACAGAGAGTGAACACTGAAACAAGCTGCCTCTTTCCAGTCTATATTTGTCCAACCTATTTTTATGTTACCCAAGTAATAGCTTTTATATCCTTTTACTCATGTACGAATTAATTGCTCTACCATATTGTATTATTTTTGTCACTACTACTACTACTACTACTACTACTACTACTACCACCACTAGTGAACATCGAAATGGTACCTCACTAGTATTGCACCTCACTCTGAGCCTTTATATACCCTCTGTGTCCATGTATTGTTTGTAATGGCTTGATAAAGCTCCTGGAGAGCAAAACGTTGCCACAAAATGTCACATTAGTTGCACTTGTGTCCTTTTACTTTACATATTGTCGGTAATTCTACCAACTTTATTACAGTTACCATTTTGTCCTAGGCACATGTCGATTAGACACTAAGCCTGTTGTATATACCTGCGTGTGAGTGTGTGTGAGTGTGAGTGTGTGTGTGTGTGTGTGTGTGTGTGTGTGTGTGTGTGTGTGTGTGTGTGTGTGTGTGTGTGTGTGTAATAGACACTTAATGTTAGCAAACCCAACACACAAAGAGACAAACACAGAAAACTTAGACTGGCATGTAAATTTCGACCTTCAACTGAGGCCCTTTTTAGCAGATATAAAAGAGAGATTAGTATTTACAGTACATGTGTGAGAATGCTCATCATATCACATGAAGAAACACTGTAAACAACGAGTTGAGTCACCTGTCAAATCTGTTAACCAGGTGATGGTCACCTCTCACAGGGACTCGCATCCGAGAAAGAGGTCAGCTGCTGGCAAAACTTCTCGTAGAAACTCGAAATTCCGGCTTCCAGCAACTTTCTGAAAGTTGTACATAGATGGTATATAGTACCGACAAGATGAAAAAAATTAGACATGTACAACATGTGGGTGTGTTTACTTGTAGAGGATTCACCAACCAGTGGTGCTATCAGTACAAGGATATAATGTGATGACCTCCTTGTATTGTGTTGATAAAGCCACTGGTTAGATACCCGGGTGTTGCACATGTGTCTAATTTTTCAACCTTCTGAAAGGTTGAAATTTGGTAAGAAGTTGATAATTACAAAAGTCAGTCATTTCTTTCTTTAACAACTGCAGTCCACTTTACGTGTTATTGAAAGTCCTCAGCGCATATGTTGGCTTTCTTCACCACATACTGAGAGCTAAACACTCATAGCCATAACAGACCTTTTTGCGTTACACAATGTGCATTTTTAAACTTGGGCTGGTCTGTCTAATGCAGAGGTCGACGAAATTTTTTTGGTATTACCCCAGGAGATAATGTTTATATATATATATATATATATATATATATATATATATATATATATATATATATATATATATATATATATATATATATATATATTATATATATATATATATATATATATATATATATATAAAATATATATATATATACAAAAATGTCGTGCTGAATAGGTAAAACTGGTCAATTAGCAATAACTTATTTAAAATTAAATCCTTTCTAAAATTTTCTCTTACACATTCAAATAAATATTTTTTTCATTCATGTTAATATAAAAATTAACGATTTTGCACCAAAAGAACCTTAGGAAACTTATCTAACCTTATTAAAACAAGCACAATACAATATTGCCTAATCGAACTAAATATATTTTCTATAAGTTTATAATAATTTAATAATAAACAAACACAATGAAATATGCTTTTCTCGTTATGTTCAGAATGATTTTTGCGAAATTACTGCATACACAAATTTGCACTTGCCTTATTCGGCAAGAAGTGCGTTGCTAATTAAACCAAAATTTCAAGTTTTACGTTTCGGCACGACACTACATTTTATATATATATAATATATATATATATATATATATATATATATATATATATAATATATATATATATATATAATATATTTAATTATACACACACACACATAAACGATACGAGAATAAACAAAAGAAATAAAAACATCAAACAAAAGCAGCTTTTTCTAGTTCAACTTAGGCTTCAACACCTTGTAACAAAAGATTATATTTTGCTTTGAGTCAATATAACATCTTTTACACTGCGACACTTTTGTAACACCACGAAAATGAAGAGAGAGGAAAAGAAACTACCATTAGACAAGAAGCGAACCACTGAGAGCAGTGCTAACAGCGGTAGCAACAGCGGCAACCGCATCACATACAGCAGCATCAATAACAGCATTAGGAACAGCCACAGCGGTAGCCTTAGCAGAGTCACCATTGTCTGAAGAGGGCAGCAGAAACACCCGCAGTAGGTGCAAGGGAAGCAGCGACACCAGCAGTAGGTGCAACTGTAGCAGCGACACCAGCAGTAGGTGCAACTGTAGCAGCGACACCAGCGGTAGGTGCAACTGTAGCAGCGACACCCACAGTAGGTGCAACTGTAGCAGCGACACCAGCAGTAGGTGCAACTGTAGCAGCGACACCAGCAGTAGGTGCAACTGTAGCAGCGACACCAGCAGTAGGTGCAACTGTAGCAGCGACACCAGCAGTAGGTGCAACTGTAGCAGCGACACCAGCAGTAGGTGCAACTGTAGCAACGACACCCACAGTAGGTGCAACTGTAGCAGCGACACCAGCAGTAGGTGCAACTATAGCAGCGACACCAGCAGTAGGTGCAACTGTAGCAGCGACACCAGCAGTAGGTGCAACTGTAGCAGCGACACCAGCAGTAGGTGCAACTGTAGCAGCGACACCAGCAGTAGGTGCAACTGTAGCAGCGACACCCACAGTAGGTGAAACTGCAGCAGCGACAATGGGCAGTAAGTGCAACTGTAGCAGCGACACCCACAGTAGGTGAAACTGCAGCAGCGACACCCACAGTAGGTGCAACTGTAGCAGCGACACCCACAGTAGGTGCAACTATAGCAGCGACACCAGCAGTAGGTGCAACTGTAGCAGCGACACCCACAGTAGGTGAAACTGCAGCAGCGACACCCACAGTAGGTGCAACTGTAGCAGCGACACCCACAGTAGGTGAAACTGCAGCAGCGACACCCACAGTAGGTGCAACTGTAGCAGCGACACCCACAGTAGGTGCAACTATAGCAGCGACACCAGCAGTAGGTGCAACTGTAGCAGCGACACCCACAGTAGGTGCAACTGTAGCAGCGACACCAGCAGTAGGTGCAACTGTAGCAGCGACACCAGCAGTAGGTGCAACTGTAGCAGCGACACCCACAGTAGGTGCAACTGTAGCAGCGACACCAGCAGTAGGTGCAACTGTAGCAGCGAAACCCACAGTAGGTGCAACTGTAGCATCAACACCCGCAGTAGGTGCAAGGGCATCATCAACACCCGCAGTAGGTGCAAGGGCAGCATCAACACCCGCAGTAGGTGCAAGGGCAGCATCAACACCCGCAGTAGGTGCAAGGGCAGCATCAACACCCGCAGTAGGTGCAAGGGCAGCATCAACACCCGCAGTAGGAGCAAGGGCAGCATCAACACCCGCAGTAGGTGCAAGGGCAGCATCAACACCCGCAGTAGGTGCAAGGGCAGCATCAACACCCGCAGTAGGTGCAAGGGCAGCATCAACACCCGCAGTAGGAGCAAGGGCAGCATCAACACCCGCAGTAGGTGCAAGGGCAGCATCAACACCCGCAGTAGGTGCAAGGGCAGCATCAACACCCGCAGTAGGTGCAAGGGCAGCATCAACACCCGCAATAGGTGCAAGGGCAGCATCAACACCCGCAGTGGGTGCAAGGGCAGCATCAACACCCGCAGTAGGTGCAAGGGCAGCATCAACACCCGCAGTGGGTGCAAGGGCAGCATCAACACCCGCAGTGGGTGCAAGGGAAACAGCTGTATTAGCTGCTGCAGCAGCTGCAACACCCGCAGTAGGTGCAAGGGAAACAGCTGTATTAGCTGCTGCAGCAGCTGCAACACCCGCAGTAGGTGCAAGGGAAACAGCTGTATTAGCTGCTGCAGCACCTGCAACACCCGCAGTAGGTGCAAGGGAAACAGCTGTATTAGCTGCTGCAGCAGCTGCAACACCCGCAGTAGGTGCAAGGGAAACAGCTGTATTAGCTGCTGCAGCAGCTGCAACAAGAAAAATTGGTGCATGAACAACAGCAGCAGCAGCTGTTGCATCAACAACAGCTGCTACAGCAAGAATACCTACTACAGCTGCGCCGCTACAGCAACGGCACCAGCAACAACAATAATAGCAATAGCAAACAGAAGCAGCAGCAGCAACAGCAGCAACACCACCACCATCAGCAGTAGCAGCAGCAGCAGGAGCACTACTACTACCATCAGCAGTAGCAGCAGCAGCACCAACAGCACAGCAGCAGCACCAACAGCACAGCAGTAGCAGAAGCACTAGCACCAACAGCAACGCCAATAGTACCAGCAGTACCAACAGCACAGCAGCAGCACTACCACCAACAGCACAGCAGCAGCAGTGCTAACAGCAGCAGCACCAACAGCACAGCAGCATCAGCACAGGAACAGCACCAACAGCAGCAGCAGCACCAACAGCATAGCAGCAGCAGCACCAACAGTACAGCAGCAACAGCACAGCAACAGCAGCACAGCAACACCAACAGAACAGCAGCAGCTGTAGGAGCAGCAGCAATAGGAGCAACAGCAGCAGGAGAACCAACAGCACAGCAGAAGCACAGCATCAGCAACACCAACAGTAGCACCAACAATAGCAGCAGCAGCAGTACTCGAGGGCCTGGTCCCAAATCTGCACACTGCCATAACATACTGGAGTGAGAGATATGGGAGGAAGTGTAAAATAAACCCAGTGAGGAGCAGGGGTGCGGTGGGGACAATAAGGGAACATTGTATCAACATTCGGGGTCCCAGACTATTCAACATCTTACCAGAAGATATCAAACACAGCTGGAACAAGTGTTGAAGCCTTCAAGAGGAAACTGGACAAGTATCTTCACCAGGTGCCAGATCAACCAGGCTGTGATGGATATGTGGGGCAGCGGGCCTCCAGCAGCAACAGCCTGGTTGACCAGGGAAGCACCAGACGAGCCTGGCCGGGCTCAGAGAGTAGATAAACTCTCGAAACTCTTCAAAGGTATATCTACCAACAGCAGCAGCAGCACCAACAGCAACAGCACCAACAGCAGCAGCAGCACCAGCACCAAGAGCAGCACCAACAGCAGCAGCGCCAACAACAGCAGCAGCACCAACAGCAGCAGCAGCAGCGCCGCCAACAACAGCAGCAGCAGCAACAGCACCAACAGCAGCAGCAGCGCCAACAACAGCACCAACAACAGCAGCAGCACCAACAGCAGCAGCAGCGCCAACAACAACAGCAGCAGCACCAACAGCAGCAGCAGCGCCAACAACAGCAGCACCAACAGCAGCGCCAACAACAGCAGCAGCAGCAGCAGCACCAACAGCAGCAGCAGCGCCAACAACAGCAGCAGCACCAACAGCAGCAGCAGTAGCAGCAGCGCCAACAACAACAGCAGCAGCACCAGCAGCAGCAGCGCTAACAACAGCAGCAGCGCCAACAACAACAGCAGCAGCACCAACAGCAGCAACACCAACAGCAGCAACAGCGCCAACAACAGCAGCAGCACCAACAGCACCAACAACAGCAGCAGCAGCACCAACAACACCAGCAGCAGCAGTAGCAGCAGCGCCAACAACAACAGCAGCAGCAGCAGCACCAGCAGCGCCAACAACAGCAGCAGCGCCAACAACAGCAGCAGCACCAACAGCAGCAACACCAACAGCAGCAACACCAACAGCAGCAGCAGCGCCAACAACAGCAGCAGCGCCAACAACAACAGCAGCACCACCAACAGCAACACCAACAGCAGCAGCAGCGCCAACAACAA